TATTTAAATCAAATTGCCACTTGAAAATCTTCTAGTATCCTACCAGACATTTTTGTCAATAGACTTTGAGCTAGTGCTTTTAGATTACTAATATGATGTAAAGCTTTGTTTGTGCATAGAATCGGATTTCTAGGATGACGTTGAGGTATCAACTGAAAACCACAAGCAATGAAAATAAAACAAAAACAGAAGCCAATCAACATTAGAAAAATGTAAATGTCTAGCGTCAACCTAATCTATGAAGAAAACAGTTGTTATTAGTCAGCAGGTTGATGGGAATCAAATAAAAAATTAATGTTGTCAAGTAAATTAACGGTTGATATGCATGGAAATTTGTCATCTGGTGATTACCCAATCGTACCATACACCCTAAAAACGGTTAAACTTTTATTATCTCAGTGGGATTTATTGTCATATTGTGACATTGGTGAGTAATTCCTATGACGTTGCTAAGCTGAGTCATTTAATCAACTGAGTCCACTTTTTATGTCACGTTATGTTGTGGATACTCCGACAATGAATGCCTTTGTAGGAAAGTGTCAATTTTTTAAGCAAAGATCATATTGAACTACAACTTCAGTCATGTAGTACAGAATAACATCGTTAGGAAGACAACTCAATGAAATACAAGGGAATAATGCAACAGACATGAGAAAAACATACATGTATTCATCAGTTATAATTTCTTCTGATGATAACTGGTTATGGCTATTCTAGACTACATTGTATTAGATTAACACTAAATCTACGCAGAAAACAATCAATTTGATCAAAAGTGAGTTTTAAGACTTTCGAAGTCAATAGATTAAAAGGATATATTGAACTTGAAATCTAAGAAACACTACCACCCTCAAATCTAAAACTTACTTATTAAAAAATAAACAGCGACACTTTATGATAGTCCAAATGAACTAACAAAAGAGGTTAGCTGATTAAATAAATCAAGTTTTATTCAAAACAATAAGAACAAGGTTTCTCATTTAACACCTAATGAATGTAATAACTAAGTTTATGACTGAATCCAGATCGCATGTAAATTGAAACATGTAGAATTTATTTAATTTCATGTACCGTAGACCAAGACAGTTTTGAAACTAATTCGTTTCGCACCGGTCAGTTACTGTAGTATCGTCAATACTACATTAGTCTAGTCGATATGGTTCAGTGATACTTGTGAAATACTCTTAAAATATGTCAATAATGAGTTTGGTGATTTCATAATAAACTTTGTTAATAAAAAGTAATCGTGAAAATGCTGAGTTTTAACTTTAGGCTTCACCATTTATTATTTACATGTCTCAGTTTCTGGTGAATATATTTTTTGTAAAGTACGAATAAAAATATTGTGGGGTGATGAAGAAGATTTAATTCAATTCGTTTTCATTCATTTTTTAGAAATGAACCATCCTTTTTTTTTGTAAACAAAGTCACTGGATTTTAACTAGGCAATCTCTAAACATAAATGTTTAAGGTTTGAACTCTTGTATATTTCATAGGAGAACAATGGTGTGGAGTACTAAACTAAACTAAAATAACTGTTCAGTGGTACATTCATCGTCAGTAATTCAATCTGTGATAGCATCCTATTTCAGAAAGCATATTGTTAACGAGTTTGTAGAGTATGTGAATTGAATTTATTTCACTTCATACAGTATTTGTTGGTGATAATTGTACAAAACTATTAAATACGTTAGTGATAAACCATATTTTACATAATTTACCTTCTACTAATGCTAATAAAGAAAAGCTGAATGTGTACAACATGAAATCCATTAGAAGTGATCTTATTTACACTTGGAACAGATGATGATATATTTTACGTTGACTTATGGTCATTCAAACAAACTTTTACACACTGAAGGTTGAATAAACCAAATTTTAACTGTAAAATTCCAAACATAATCATCTGGATTAACATGAAGTTGAATTACTAATTTTTATTGTTCATATGGAAACTACATGTTTTATGACTTCCAAGTAATAAGTAGGGTAGATGATGTGACAATTTATTGATTTCTGTTTAGGACAATTCTAGTAACTGTCAATAAATTAAGTTGAAAGTAAAAATAATGTTATTATTAATAATAATAGATAACTGAATTGTGTTCGGGTTCGTGGATGCGCACTGCTGAGGAGTCCCATAATAGGACGAAACGGCCGTCCAGTGTTTCCAGGTTTTCCATGGTGGTCTAGCTTCAATTGACTCACGCTTTCAACTATAATGAATTGTGTTCATCTAAACAAGAATGGAAGATGAATTAGATGATGAACGAACGACTGAATTTCAACTATATCAATGTACCAGAAAGAAACATTGTTCCAATGTTATTTAGATCCAATAAAAAATATTATACATGGCGCCTTTCAAAAAATACAGTCATTTTAAACAAATTGAAACAAGCACTGTGTCAATAAAGATTTAAATACAATTTTTTAGTATGACTATTCACTTTAGTAATTTATCACACCGATCAGAAAAAAAAACAATATCTGACTTTATGATTACATTGTAGTACATCTATCTACTTGTTATCTACTGAATCAACAACAGAATGGAAAGTAGATTAAGTGAAATTTGATAATTTTGAAAGTAGCCGATTTAAAAACGATGAAAGAGTGGGTTTAGTATAATTCAATTTCAACTGGTAGGTTTGCCTATATTGTTAGTCAGGTTGAAATAAATGTTTTCTAATCAATATGTCACAGAGGTAAATGAAAATTTGATTGTTCATTTTCTAACACATTAGATAATAGTATTATTAGTATGTTCACGTTTTTCATAGAATAATTGACTAAACGGATATATAAATATCGATTGGCAGATGGTAAGTACACTTCCATTGTGTGATCAGATGTGACTATAGATTTCTATTAGTTCAAACAATGTAACATAGTCACTAAACTAAATAATAACGTGAATTTATTGTTTTTATATTCTTTCATCCTTTTTCTTACATTTGTAAGTGAAATCGCCTCACTTGAAAAAAATGTATGAAGTCATCTGTGACATATCTGCCGCATATGTGTAAAGGGTGTGTATGCTATGCAGAAGTTTGATTCGTATTATTTTATATACGCAAATAAATGTCTATAAAAATACAACAATTAACGTAGATAGAAGACACTTGGCTGTATTTGTTGTAGAATTATTGGCGACGTAAGTTGAAATTGTAGAGTAAGTTGTAGTCCGGTTAAATATAAAGTATAAATAATATATCAGTTGATGAGTTTATAAACTTTCAGATCAAAACGTAGCACCTAATACACAAAATCATTAAGAGGTGAAAGTACAAAATTATTGTTTACTAGGTTACATTTTTTACTTATAAACTATGATTGAAAGCAAAAATGTTTAGAGCGATTTCTGTCAAAGTGACTCAAAAATTCATTTTATCATTCATTTATAATTATTTTTTGGTTTTCAGTGTTAACATTATTTTATATACTTCAACGTTTGACCTCGTTCAGATAGTGAAGATTTGTAGCTCAAGTGGATGATTTTGATAGAGTTCTTTTTCTTTGAGCTGGATGGTTTTGTCGTGGAGCTTTCATCGTCCTTCTGAACGACATCATTTTGTTGACCTTAAGGTTAACAAGAACCAATCAACATCGAGGTGCACAAGACAAGCTGTGAATCACATGTGGAGAAATTCAAACACTTCACTTCTACTTTGTGCTGATGATGTCGTTCAGAAGAATGATGAAAGTTCCACGACCAAACCAACCAGCTCAGAGAACAAAACTCCATGAAAAACCTCATTCATGTTTTTGATCAAACTAAATTTTTTTTTCATTCATAGATATTGATCGAAATTAGTGATTTGATTTAAATGTCTTTTCAATTTAAATTTAATTTTGTTATAAGTAAATTGTATAATATATAATCAATATTTTATGATTGATTACGTCAATATTATATGTATATTCAACTACACCCGTATACTAATTATGCATATAGAAAACTGTAAAAAAAGTACTCTTTGTGATATGAACAATGGTAATGGATAAACTCAATTACTAAACGAAAATGATAAATGAATTAAATTTTTACATATTTTAAATAGTTAAAACAAAACATCTCATTGAATAAAATTTCATTAGTTACTATGATGGATATTGTTGATAAGCTTTTTATAACTATGAAAACAGGTATGAAAGTTGGTTGTCACAGTGTTAGAAATGTAATGTTCAACAAATTTTTTTTTCTTGATCTTATCAGTTAAATGTATAATCTCTGTCAATGTCTATTCATGTTTCATTTATCATGGAATTCGATTCTTTTAGAGCTCTCTATTTGTATTACAGAAGGTAAAACATTTCAATGAAATCTCTGTTGTAAATTGTACTCATCATTAATTTCATAAGGCAATAGAAAACTATAATACAACATAATACTTTTACTACTATAATATTTTTCATGCAAAATCGGAAAAAGTACTTGTAATTCACTGAATATCATTTCATGAACCGTTTTATACCAAATAAATATTCCATTTCATTTAAGACTAGCCAAGTAACATAGAGTTGATGTTATCACTGAGATTTTAACACAGTATCCAGTGTTTTAAACTCAAGAGCGTTGTTCACCAAGTAAGCTTGTTTGAAGATAGAATACACATCATCTATTGCATAGCTAACAATAAATAAAATGTGAACCACTTGTAGTGGATAAGAGCAACACACTGAAGAATCTTTCTCAGGTATTTATGTACCAAGAGATACTAATGAAATTTAATATGTTGAATATTAACAACAAACAAACATAAACCTTTAAAACCAAGATGTTATTCAATTTTCAAATTTTCTAGTTTCTATTACTTCCTAATAAATTTATTCAACTCCCTGTTATTTGATGATGGTTAGTGAACAATAAAAATCGAATGAGCTATGTTTTAAGAATCTTATTATACATTTTAAATAAACGAAAACGAATTATAAGTAATTTATGCATAGAAATGATTTGAATAATACAGAAATAAAATAATAAAATTGTTACTAACTTGTAATTTGAATTAAAAATGGTGGCCTGCTGTCTAATTTACCAGCTGCATGTATAGCACGACAATGATAACTTCCTGTGTGTTCAATACCAAAAACTGCTATACGTAAATTTCCATTACTTCGAAATTCTGTATTTGGCAAACGCCTAACAAAATAAATTTAAAGTAGAATTGAAATAAATCTATCATAGTGATAACATATATGTATCTATAGTTTGTTTCATTCTCAATTTCATCTTCCAATTAGATCGAAATTTATCAGTAAGTCTTGGAAAAATATCATAAATTTCCTCAGTGAGATAAATCAGTCAGTTACATAGTTTGACAGTAAGTTTCATGTTACAGTATGACAGTTAAAATCAGTTAACTACTAAAAACTTCCATAATAAATTATACAGGCTATTTTCAGTTTCCTCCCCTACTGAAAAGAAGTCAGCTGTAATCAACTGTGTGTGAATATATAGTTCATTTATTCTCTGTTAGTAAATTGATATTGAGAAGTTTTAGGAAATCTTTACATAAATATTCATGTCGATAATCATTAACACCGACAATATTGAGTCCCATTAACCGTCAGTTATAATGTACCGATTAATGAAGCGACAAACCAACAGATAGGCCAACATGTCATTGGATTCTCTTAATTCCAGTCATATTCTTCTAATAACAATATGATATATAGACCAAACAGATAGTCGAGTTCATTATTTACCAAAATCTTCATCTCATCAAAACTAGGGAGAAAACTTAGTGGAGTAACTAGTATAGTGTAATGAAAATTAATTGGATATCGTCCATCCTTATTACAGTTTAATACACCGTATTCAATAATGAGATATGATTTGATTATTAGTTTCGATTTAAACGAATATATTTTAAATTAATCATAATCTTGGTTTTGTAACAGTTTTAATCAGAATTCCGACGCAAGATCACAAGAGTTTACTAATACTCGTCAATTTAAATGATTTTATTCCTTATTTGGAAGCTAACTGAAAGTCTACGTCCATTACCATACTTAAACAAGATAGAATTTTATATAGTTAAGATCATGAGTCAGTTGAAGCTAGACCACCATGAAAAACCTGGAAGCACTGGACGGCTGTTTCGTCCTATTGCAGGACCTCTCAGCAGTGCGTATCCATGACCTCGTCTAGCGAGATTCGAACCCAGGACCTATCAGTCTCGCTCCAGAGCTTCAGCTGACTCATAATCTTAACTATATAAAATTACTGAAATCTCCACAAAACCCCCTTGTGATAATGAAGTTAGAATTTTGTTCAACTTGTTACCCAACATTAATAACACAGTAGGTTTTTATGCGTTCAAGTCTGTGAATAGAATTTAATAGCCATTTGTCATACGAACCTGTTGTTTGCTGTCCTCATTATAATAATTATTTGTCTATTTTCCACTTGAATAATTACAAAGAAGACATGTTGAAGAGAAATTTACACCTTAACTAGTAAACTACAGTAATTATTCTTAATCATCATATGAATAACTTTACCATAGAAAGGATAGACATGTGTAGATAAGCAAAAGAAAAGAGAGAAAAAGACGGAGACAGATAGAGGGAAAGCGAATTTATAAGTAGTAGTTAGTAAATATTTAGATGATCGAGTAAGCATACAGAAATGATGTGGATGCATGCATGCAGATACGCATGTACGCCTATATGTATATATATGTATATGCTAAGATAATAATAAACAGATATCTTTTATTAATTTGGGAGTCGCCTGCCTGTTTTGTCATTGTTATAACAAACACCAAATAATAATAGTTGATTATGTGATAAATTCACATAAAACCGACTTTATATCAAATGAAACCTAATAAAGTAGAAAGTTTCCTTGACATTATTATTTAACTTATATTGTTATGATGATAAGACATAACAACAATAACAAATATAAGAATTAAAATATTGGAAAAAAAAATTAAAGGATAAATGATTATAATAATATTATAAGTAGTGGATATATAGTAGTATACTATAGATAAAGTTGAATAGAGTGAGAGATAGAAAAACTAAACAATGAAAAATAAACAAAGTACAATTAATAATAAAGAAAAAAAAATCAATATTTGAAAAACTATTTTTATTTATAGTTTTTTATATCCGTTTCTTATTAGACCATATATTGAAATTATTAATAAATTAATAGATAAATTATAATATTATCGATTAGATAGTTTGATAAGATTGTTACATACAACATATATGTATATATTAAGTTTATTAAACCAATAGTGTGAAACAATTCTATTCCCTAAACATGTTTCGTTTAGTCAGCTACAACGTAGGACTAGGCACATATATGTATCGGTTCAAGATGCCATAACCTCATTAGCACAACAAAATGAACACCAAATTCATAGAAGTAGTTACTTCGATGGTTGTAATACATAAAAGAAAGATTGTATATAAGGATACAGTATAGGAAGAAAGAATTAGTTCGTAGAAAGTAAGGTATAAAATAATCTCACAGTTTAAGGGAAGACAGAAAGTGTAAACACCTATACCATTGTGATCGATTTTGAGCCATATCACACAGAGTCTCCAACCATTGGTTACGATCGTCATGCGGATCACAACCACGTAGACTGCAATTACCAACATGGCTCAGACCAGAAAAAAGTGACTTCAAGGACTGATGCCACGTTTTGGTTTGCCAACCCCTAGCTTTCTTCCATCCGTCTCCAACGCTAATCAGCGTTGTGGTAATCGGTGGTTGAGCATGCATAATAAGTAGCTCGACCATCTTCTTCGATGGAGATTTACATTCTCATCAACTGATTTACTATATTTCCCTAATACCTTGCGTCTAACTTTATCATTACTTACCTGATGATCCCAGCAGATGCGAGCAATATTTCTAAGACATTTGTGATAAAATACGAGTAACTCAAGTATATCTTCTCTTAATGGCCACGTTTCGCAACGGTAAATTTAAACAGGACGAACTGTTGCGCAGTATACTCGTCCCTTGATTGATAGACGGATATCTCGCCTTCATCATAGGTGACGTAGGTTGTCAAAAGTCAAACGAGCTTTTTGAATCCGTGCTGAGATTTCGACAGACACCAACCCATTAGGGCTGATCAGACTTCCAAGATAAGTTAAGTTGTCGACGTGTTTGACTACTTCAATCCCTATCCTTAATACTAGTGTTGACGCACACCACTCCTGAAGCAACAATTTGCATTTAGAGGAAGAGAAACGCATTCCAAACATCCTGGAATTGTTGCTAAATGCTACCAAAAGACTCTGGATTTTATCAGCGTCTTCAACAAACAGGACTACATCATCTGTGCATTCTAATTTGATAACTGGATTTTCTGGATGGAGATCAATCCTCAAAATCGAGTTAATTTGTTTTAGTTGATGAATAATTACTAGTCAAATTCAAAATTGTTTTAAACATTATTCTATACATTATCAATTTCTATGTATCTGTTATTGGGGAATAATTGTTAGTTGTACTTGTATAATAAATATTTCATGCAGTTCAGCTTACTAAATAAATACATTCAACTGCCTTTCATTTGATAATAAGTAATAACTTGTTAAGTTACATATAGTTATAAACATGAGGTTACTTGAGCAGTCACATTGTAATGAGCTCTTCCTAATTAAATTCATTAAGTTCATGTAAGTTTGTTAGCAGTAGTTACAGCTTCTTTTTCAGATGCATTCAAATGTAGGTTGTATCACATGAGAGACTTATATTGTCGGAATTAATACATTTTTTCTAAGCCTTGTCGACATGCTTACAGACTGACTAATAAGATAAAATTACCAATATTACAAGACGACTTTTCTTACAGTCGATAAATCAACTATTGACTACCATCAAAAACACGATAAGCTAAAGATACTTATTGTAAAATAAGGATTACTAAAAAAAGAACCTATAGAAAAAATTCTTTTATGATTGATTTTTGCCTGATCCATGTATTACCATAACTGTTACTGTTAAATATTTCCATATAAAATGGATTAAATACCTCTAACCAGATTGGAGAGTATGATTGCCTTCCTTAATCACTTATGATTATTGATAGTTAGTTTCCCTTAGTTCAATATTGTAATGTACTAATGGAACAATACATACAACAACACCAATAGTGAATGCAATAAAACGAATTTCATAAATATTTTTATTTAAATATCAGTAATTTTATCTTTAAAATTAATTTTACCAATCTTCCGATCAGTTTGTGCTACAACTTTCAATGTATTCTTGTCATTATTTTTCAGACTACGAATGTAATAGCTTAAAATTAAAAATTACAACTGTAACATGAAAATATGTATACGTAGTAAGTTAAGATACAAGTTCATTCTTTTGTATCAAACATCATTAAAAGCATTTACTTACATACTTACTTACTTACGCTTGTTAGTCTCGTCGAGAATCATCTATACTGTCATAATTCTATCAATTACTTCATAATTATTCATTAAAAGGAGTCATCTACCTTGTGTCATTTATTTTTATATTCATGTTATCTACTTGACTATTAAACTATATTAATGAGTCAGAGACACTCCTCCCGTTTGTTACAGATCCATAATTTGAATGAAATAAATTGGTAATTCAGTTAGCTAAGAAAGTTAAATCATAGCTTTTAATACACGCTTATATACAAAGCGAAATGCACGTAGCAACTTGGTATCGAATGTCTATGAATGAAAAACGATTCGTTAAGTTGTTAAGTATAATAATTGTATATGAATATCATTTCAATGTATGCTACTTTGTATTACTCATATCAAATTATGAAGAAAAAAATTAATAGCATCGAAATACTATGATTTTTACCTACAATAGCAGTAAGTATCAGAAGGGAGTTTTGTGGAGATTTTAGTAATTTTATATTGGTGAGATCATGAGTCAATTGAAGCAAGACCACCATGGAAAACCTGGAAGCACTGGACAGCCGTTTCTTCTTATCATGGGACTACTCAGCAGTGCGAATCCACGATCCCACCTCGCGAGATTCGAACCCAGGACCTATCAGTCTCGCGCGCGAGCAATTAACCGATAGACTACTGAACCGGTATCCAACGGTGTTAATGTCTAACTTAAACCAATCCACGAAATTGAGCAACCATTCACCAATGTCTTCGGTGAGTTGATATCTCACAACAGACCTGGTTGAACTCCACTGGTTACTGCTTCTCACTAGAACTCCAGGAAATACCCCATGGAGCCAGTCACTAGTGAGCATATGATAAGGGGGGTTGTTTGTGGAGATTTTTAGTAATTTATATATATAGTTGAAATCATGAGTCATGGTGGTCTAGCTTCAATTGACTCATGATCTCACTTATATAAAATAACAGTAAGTCACAAAAATATCCCTGTTGATACTAGAATTGCAGTGAACAACCTTATTCAGTATATACACTTTGAAATTAGATCAAATAAATATATAATGAAATTCAGATGAGTGAATACATTACACAGAAGGGAATCAAAATAGTTTAGGTTATCGTAAATGTAGGGTATAATCCAAAAAGACGCAGTTCAGTGTAAGAAACAGAATGACATTATTTGGATATGCTATTTGAAACATTTCAGTTCTCTAAACTTAATGTTAGAACAAGTTAATTTTACTTCTTCATTATATATTCTTTTTCAAATGTTCCAGTTTCAAGACGAAAGTCGACACAATAAGTAAATAGATACACACAACCAAGATAAATAAAATGTCAAATCAAATGATTTTTGTAAAATTTACCTGAACATGTGAATATTCAGCAATATTATTATTAATATTAATTATATTATTATTATTATTATTATTATTATTATTATTATTATTATTATTATTATTATTATTATTATTATTATTGTCTTAACATTATACAATCAGCAATAAGGGGAGTGTATTTCATGAATTTTTTCAAACAGCATTAAAGTATAATTAGAAATTTGTTAGTTTGTCACGTTCAACTATTTACATAAATAATTCCAAGAAAACTTATCTAGTACCATTATATTAATATGATCAAAACGTGATTAAAGAAGAATTTCTAGATGATATATTAAATAAAGCAAGTTAGTAGAAATAATGTTTATAATCACTTTAAGTTAATTATTTACTTTTAGTAGTTGAATTCACGAAACAATATAAGCTAGATTACGATTGAAAAGATGGAAGGACTGAACGGTTGTTTCATTCTAGTATGGGACAACAATCAGTATCAATGATCCAACATGCGGGACTCGAACTCAGGACATTCGGTTTCGCGCGCGAACTCGCGCGAACTTCTATACCACTGGGCCGGCATCCAACGGCGCTAATGTCTAACTTTAATCGATCCATGATCTTGTAGAACTATCCATCCATTGACTGAGATAGATACCTGTCTTTTCCCGACACTGATTGGAATTCACTGGTCACGGCTTCTCACTGGAACTCTATGAAATCATCTTGAAGCCAGTCGCTAGTGAGCATACAATGTTTATGATTAGAATGGAGGGTTTGGTGGAGATTGTAGTAATGTTAATGATGCATTCATGAGTCAACGTAAGCTAGGCCACATAACAAATAAATGAAGTTATAATATTTCTTAAATAAATCTGCCTATGGATCCCACTGAAATTTCATGATGAGGTCTCAGAAATTAATGTTGCCAAAAGGTGACAGTGGTTTAAGTTTGCCGACAAACCTGTAAATACTTTTTTTCTATGCATTAAGGAACTTTGAGGTAAAAATATTTTTACTTCACTATTTTTCTCTACTGTTCAGGGCTCAATTGTCAGAGCATGTAAAAAACCTAGATGCTGCCTAAGAAGTTAGTAACAAGCATTTGAGTATAGCAACTATTCTACACCCGATTTCGATCATGGTTAATTTTGGTTAAGCCCTTTTATTAACTCAACATACAATGTCATTTGGATAGTAACCATTCACATATGTCTTTCTACTTTTATGATCACTAGAGCATATGACAGACTCTAGCCAAAACGTTGATTGCTTAAATATCATTCGATGATTCATCCTCCACCCCATGCACTCAAATCCTACTATTAGCTCTTGCTTTGTCTTGCTGAGCCCTTATACAATTTGACCATAAATTTGCCTATGTATTTGCTTGCGCTTGCTCGCTGATACTTACTCATGTGTTTGTAGCTTTGTGGCCTGCGTCATTTGATAATAAACTGTAGTTGAAGCTTCTCATTACCTGCTGATTTTATGCACCGTTACGATTTATGATATAACGGTTATCGAGGTGAAAGATTAGAGAGGCATTGCACTACATGAGTACCAACACATGCTAAAATATTTGGGTGATGATATGGTTTCCCATACTTTATGAAATTCATCTCATCACAGCGAAAGGAAAAGAAGATATTGATTGTAAGTTGCGTTTATTTTTTGAATGATAACATTAAATAAAATCAATATTGGATGGAGATTTTTCTATACAATATATGCTATAAGATTTATGAGGTAGTAGGTTTCATTTTATTATCCCATCCCAGTAATAATTAATATGATATATTGACAGTAGCCCAAGTTTCAAAAAAAGTCATTACGATGTTCTAGATTTCCATTAACCTTAAACACTATTTAACAAAAATTGTAAGTAGGGAATAACTTGGCTTAGAGGTTACACTTTAAACTTAATTCAATGAAACTTTTAAAGACTACAAAGTAGACAAAATTATTATTACTATATGCTCTATTTAAAAAAGGTAGAATTCATTGTGTTGTCAAAATCAAAATATAGTATTATATATGTAGATAGGCATATCACTTACGCATTTCCATTGTGAAACCATTTAATATTTGCTGGACTCAATGGTGGATTTGCTTTAACATTACATGTTAATTCAACTTCTTCACCTAAACGAATATCTTCATAACGTGATGGTTTAACTAAGGATACATGAACATCTGGATCCATCCCTTGAAAGAAAATAATCAAGTGATAATAATAACAATAATAATATTTCATTTGGTAAATTTTATCAAACGATCTGAATGAGTAGCTGAAACATTGATATGCATAGAACATACATCAACATTGTTGAGAGGAATTCAACGAGTATCTTAGTAATATATATGACGTGACTAATATTCGTTTATTATTACAACAAAAAGCAGAAAATCAACTGCATCCATAAAGTTCTATGTTTCCCTGTTCCTGTTGTTACGGTGACTAGTAAATAGAGCTATATGAAGATTGAATAAATATACTTCAGTGAATAATTCAGTTTATTATTTGCGTATTAATTCTTCAGTTGTTTTAGTGTGTTGCCACCCATAAATGATAATTTTTTCACACAGATATGTACCCAAAGTGTCCTAGATATGGATTTAATAAGGCTTATTACATATTGTGTTGCGGCCTTGTAATTCATGGTATAGTCGTTTGGGTATAAAATGGTTACTTAGGCCCAGCGATAGTCAAATTGGCGATCTAAGAACGCGGGTGTTTTTGTGGTTTAACGATGGCAGTTGCTACCTCACCTAGTATTTTATTCAAAGAAAGAATGTATTATATCAAGAGTTAGTCGAATGATCCAGTCATTTCCTGGTACTTATCTTCGATTTTGTTTACTGTAGACTGTCATCTGATACCATATTGCTTAAAAGAAAGAGTTACAAAGACTTGAATGTTAGTTTCATGTATATCTCGGATATTTAAAAAGTAGGTTTTCTTAATTTCATTAAAAACAACGATAAGACAAGTTTATGGATTTAAAAATATACCAATAGCAGATAATCGACTGCACCAAACTTCAACAGTGAGAAAGTTATAGCCTTTTGAACAAAAAAATACATCCAGTTTAATGAGTAGTTAAATTCAGCATTCTTTTTCATATTTATCTATCCAAGCCATTCAGAGAAGAAATGCGCATAAACTTTAAATCAGTCTTTTGACAATGAACAAAAGAGTTCCAAAATAGTACTATCACCAGTGTAATTTTACTAGACGATTAATCAATATCATTAAAGGTAGTAATAAAGTTTACAAGATACCTGATAATGTAACCGATTTACCAAACACAGGTTTATCTACTCAACTTTGAGTTACACTATTCACATCAGAGCTAGTAATGTTAACCAGTTGCACAAACCAAAGTAGATGCTTTGGTATTTGGAATTCTGATCCAATGATTGAAAGCCGAGCGCTTATATCACTAAGATATACCTGATAAATCCTAATAATAACCCTTGACAGATAAGATACTAAGATTTTCCACTATAAAGTAGACTACCACTTGATCAAATTCAGCTAAGAATAAAAACTACTACTACCCTTCTTTGTTCCCATTGATCATAATGAAACTTACAGTAAATGTTCACTTTTGCTTCTCTGCTAGCTGTCGTGAAAGTTGAGGAACGGTTCAACGCTTGACATTGATAGGTACCAGGATCTAACTCACGATCAGCATGTAAAATTTGTAAATTACTATCCACTTCAAGATAACGTCGACCACTCTCTTTTTCCAACTGTAAACGTGTACCATTATGTAACCATGAGTAATAAATATCTTTTGATGGAGTTACAGCACATCTCAAACGCAATGGTTGTCCTTCTTCAACATCTTGATCATTTGGACTGACAGTAAAATAAAAACTATCACTGGATGCACCTAAAATGTGGAAAATATGAGGAAAAAAGTATGCTTACTGATCTTCCTCAGTTTTGATCAAAATTGGATAATATAAATGAACAATTGAGCACAATAAAATCAAATTAAGATAACTTGGAGTTTACTTGATGTAGTGTGAGTAAACTTTAAGTTGCAACCGACAGGTACAGGAACGTTTTACTGTTAGATGGTTTAAAGCAATCATCAGATAATACTAGATATAGGTTTCTTGCAAGTTGACGATCATTAGCAAGATATATCTGCAACCCTATGTGAATAGATACTGCCTGTAAAATATGAATCTAGATAAACCAGTGTCACAGTAAGGTATGTTACCATTAAGCTAATTAGGTTGCACCCAGCTTGCATTAGGACTTTGATATTTACACTGATTAATCACTGAGTATTAATAAATGTTATGTTAATCTTTAGCGGATCCCTGTAAATTAAAAAAATCATTTATTCACACAAATTCACCAATTGTACTTTATTACTCGATAGCATATCGAGTTCGTAGGATAGGTATCGAATTACTATGATGAAATACCAATCCTCTAGTTAGATCATTTCATTATATCGATCAAAAAGAAGATTAAATCTCTGTTAGTCATTCAATTACATGTTAATCATTCCTTTATGAAATAATTTGTTTGGTCATTATTTAGAAGCCGTAATGAAGATAAAATTAAGTGAATAGAAACCCATTTTGTAGTTGATTTACTTAAAAACATTTATCCTACTTAATTTATTAAACATCAACCAGTAAGATATGACATGATATATAAACACATTTATACAATTCACATATAGAAAACTCTTTTTTCTTTGATGTTTTTGATTTTGACTATTATCCTGAAGAAGTCCAGACAAGTTAGCTAGACGAAACGTTGAAATTATTTACATTTCAATCGCTGAGACTATTTCAAATATAATTTTCCACATATAATGACTTCTTTATACTTGGTGCCCAATTTTGGTCAAGCTATTCGTCCAAACCTTGACGAATATTCGTATAAACTCTTCTTTTCTATTTTCATAGTTGAAACTATGAGTCAATTGAAGCTAGACCATCATGGAAAACCTGGAAACACTGGACGGCACTGTCCTATTGTCGGATTCCTCAGCAGTACGCATCCACGATCGGTTAAGTACTCTGGCACGAGACTGGTAGGTCCTAAGTTCGAATCTCGCGATGCGGGATCATGGATGCGCACTGCTGAGTAGTCCCACAATAGGACAAAACGCCGTCCAGTGCTTCCAGGTTTTCCATGGTGATCTAGCTTCAATTGACTCATGGTTTCAACTATGAAAATACTGAAATCCCCACAAAAACCCCTTCTCTTTTTTTATTTTGTTTTACAAACCAAATTATTCGCATAATATTAAATAATGTAATAAGAAACATAGAAAATATTTAGATTTCAGTTCATTATGTAACATTTTTGTTAACGTGACAAAGCAATGCTATTGTGATTCTACCTACTTTGTATTATAAACGGGTAAATATAACATATTCTATATATTGTGACTAACTATATCGTCACTTTAAATTAAATCAATAATGTATATATCTATATACATGCAGGTATATAAACTGCCAAATCAACATAGTACGATCGATAGATAGACGAACAAACAAGTTAAAAATGTAGACATATATCTATTTATATTTTCCAGTTAAAATGAATAAGTCATGTTTTCTTTAGTTACTCTTTCGAAAAACAACAACAACAACAACAACAACAACAAAAACAACAACATAACAACAGAAGTCAATATTTTATATGCAAATGAATGTCACCTACGTTCATGTATTTAGACATTCTTTAAAAAAAAAATAATAATAAACCGTAAAGGTGGAAACACAGTTAAGGAATAACCCATCATGTGATACATAAAAGTTTCTCAATTAACCAATCATTAATATAAAATAGATATATTCATGTATACAGGAAGGCTAAATGATATTATTATTATTATTATTGTATAAATTGAATATTATTTTTGTGGATAAATTATAAGCTAGTTTGTTTGTTTGTTTTCAATGTTCAATTTTCAATGATGTTTTTTTTAAAAAATTTTAGAAATCAATATGTTTTAATGCATTCTTTGAAAGAAAAGAAAACTAAGTATATACCAACGTGATATGTGAAGGAGACTAAAATTGAATGACTCTATTATGGAGATAAAAAATATATATATATAAGTAGTTATTGATGCCTACATTCTATATAGTATCATATTACGTATACATATGAGAAACATTTCAATGAATTCTAAACAAAAGAAACACAATTCTTAAACTGCTTTCATTATATAAAATAGTTAAGTGTAATGTGTTTTTTTGAACTATTGAGCTCAATATAACAAACTTATAACAACTTGAATCCTGAAATCTCCTCTTTTTATAAGCAAAAATACATTTTAAAAAAAGCGAAGTTCGATCTATCTGATATTACTGAGAGTATTTTACCTGGAAATCGAATGTTACAAAAGATAAACACAATACTTTACAGACCATTAAGTTGAAAATGTAAACTATAGATGTCAATTAAAAGGGTCTAAAATGTAAGGCGATTGTTGTAACGCTTGAAAGCTATTCATATGGTTATTCTTGAGGTCTTAGGTTGCATACTGCTCAGGATCATCATTGTCAGAGGAAACATCTATTCAGTATGTTCTGTCTTCTTATACCTGTCTATCTAAGGTTAGTCTGTGATATTAATCATACAATTCGTTAGTGTATCACATATCTGTCTCTTATTTGCTATGTAGCAAACGTGATTCAGCATGGGAATCACTGAAACGATAATCTTGTTATTACTCCAGATGATTTTACTTACTTTCAACCAATTCAAGTATTTAATTGAAATTCAATTACTTCATTTAGTTAACTATGCAAGCTAGTACGGATGTGTTGACAATCTTACGATTAGACAAATTTTAGAAATACCATGTAGATGAAAATTACGCGCTATTCTGATATCCAAAGACACTACTACTATGTAAATTTATTACAAAATTATCCTTGTTAAAAAAACATTAAAGACGATTCCTTGTAAAACATTTTTTACGACACAATTGTCTTTTAGCTGTGAAATTGTATGGATAGTAAGTTAACATATTTACTGTGGTATAGAATAATGAGACAGATCATAAGTCATCGATGGCTTGTTTAAAATGTTTAAGAGTTAATAAGTTTTGTGTAAATCAGGGGTGATGAGAAAAAACTAGGGTAAAAATAATCAATATGTATGCAAAATACGAGAGTTAGTCGCCTACTTAATGTATACATTATTAATTCGTAATATCAACTTCTTATATAGTGAGAAAATGAAAAAGGTTTTGAATTATGGATATGCCGAGTTTGAACATATAGTTCGAGCTTTAGATAATGAATTCATAAGGTTATAATTGTACACATCTTTCGTACCAGTTCTGAGTTTGAGCCAATTCATGCTATTACGCAAATAATTTTAAAGGACTATTGTGATGGTGAAGTGTTCAAGAATTCAGCTTTTGATTCATTTAAATGTTTGTTTTTGATATTAAGCGGAGTACTGCTTAAGGATGTGATTAGAAAAACTATGCCTTATAAACTCTATATAATCAGCTCTACAATGGCAAGTAAACTGATTGATCCGTATTGAGATGACCTAATGGATTATTTTATACTTTAAATATTCACTAATAAGTTACTGGCTATATAAGACAATTCAAAGCTCCATAGATTGAAAGATATTATTGAGAAATCTCAAAAATTAATTTCTCAGTATATTTGTTGTATTATTGTTATAAATGTAGGATACCTTGTTATAACGCTTGGTTTTCTTGTTACAACAGTCCTTTCACTTTTTAATTGAATGTGGGACGTTAATTTACCGTAGACGAATATCTACACTTGATTTCCTCCCAATGTCTATTCTACAGGACTTCAACACAACTCAGATCAAGAACATGAGATTAGCCTGACTAGAACGTCAATATATTTCCATACCAAAATCCGACACAATCCAACAACAAGGAACAGTCAATCCATAATAATCAGGATAGGGGAATATATAACACATATAACACCAGTCACACTACATCTCTGACTCAGCAAAACAACCAATCATTATCATTCTCGCCCACACATCAATTGTTTTCCTTAAATTTAGTGGTCATAAACAAAGTCTCTCTTAATACTTTGGGGTTTTTAAACATTTGGGTACACCATAAATGAAACTAGAATTTATCTCAAGTATCTAAAGCACACTAAATAACATTATGAAATTTAGTGGAAAAGAAACATTGATTACAAACTTCGAAAGGCATAGAGTAGACATATTTAAAAAAACTCATACGGCTCCGGATGTGTTTAGTGCCTAAAATACAATGTAAATTAAATAGGAGTCAATAGATAACTTGAAAAAAACTATTATTACATCAGCTTTATGTCTTGTGTCAAAAAATTTGTAGGGATGCAACTAAAAACAACCTTGGTCTATCCAACAACTTAACTATAAAGAGAAATGTTATGATAAAGTCACCTGATAGAAGTAGTCTAACGAATACAAATTTACACCTAGACAACCTTTTTCTCAGTTTTTAAAACTCGATATTAGTTGGTTAGAAATAGTTCTCTAAAAACAAAAAAGAAAACGTAACTACATTTCCTTTGAATGTTGTTTAGTTTAAACATGCTTTAAACATTATGGTATTTATGACCCTATTAGCTATTTCATTGATTAACTGCAGGAATCTTTCGAACTGTCTAATTAATTTATGTAACTATCATTGTATAAAAAAAACATTTAACAAGCTAAATGAAACTTGACTGTTATTAATTTTATTATCGAATTTGAAATTTCAAAATTAATGATTGATTCATAGATGGGTAACTAGTTGCGAAAGAAATATTTCACTAATGAATGTTTTTAACAGTGTTTAGGCACTTAATTACTTACTTACGCCTGTTACTCCTCGTAGAGGAGCATAGGCCGAACACCAGCATTCTT